AAATGGCAATTGGGTTCTGTCTGGAAGATGTGTGACTTTTGAGAGGCAGAAAGAATATATTTCATAAAGAAAGAAAGAGCAATCAAGTGGGAGAATCTTCTCCATGTCAGTCAATGACAATGTCAACAAAGATTAGATGGACTGTGTACTTCAAAACAGGAAATTTTCCAGAATGGCATGGGAGTAATGGTGGTGGCAGTGGGAAGGCTGAGATGTTCCTCTCTCCCTGATCCTGGCTCTTTCTACTCCATACAGCAAGTGGAGAAGGAGAAAGACATCAGAAAATAAAGAACTGATGTCTCAAGAGAAAACCAAGGCAAGGTGAGGAAGGGAAAGGGCGTTTGAGGAACATATCTGTGGAATCACCAAAGATCTGATCCACAATGAAACAGGGGCTCCAAAATGTACAGAATAAACAACTTGCGGAGGTACTAGAAACAGTGAGTGAATTGTAGAGAGAGCTCTCCGAGAATAACTTTAACAAGGGTGTTTTGTCAGCTTGCATTAGATTCAGCTGTATGAAACAGAAAAATTAAAAACGAAATCATGACTTAACCAAGATAGAAATTGCTCTTTCTATCCAGGGCTAGCAATGTTGCTTCCATATCATTAAGGCCTCATATTCCACATGGCTGCTGGAACACCAGGTATTAAATCAGCATTGCAAGCCATTAGAAAAGTGGGAAAGAACAAAGAGCTGTGCACTACTTCCCTTTAAGAAGATTTCATGGAAGTCCCCACAGTTCCTCCTTTTATGTCTCATTGACCAAAACTTAGATACATTGTCATACTAGCTGCAAGGGAGGCTGGGAGATCTAGTCTTTTAGATGAGTACATGTGCATCCCAATAAAATGAGTGTCTGTTACTAAAGAAAGTAAAAGAATATGGATATTGGATCACAAACAGCCTCGGTGAAAGGTAGCATAGGAGAGAGCCACAGGGAGAGGCTTTCACCTAGGACAGTGAGTCTCATAAATCCTGGATTCCTTCTGCTCCTCCTGGCCCCTCATTTCTTCTGTCATTCAAAAGCTTCTTTTTGGGGAGAACTGACTAGCCCTACTTTCTCTCCAGAAGAATCTCACTCCTGGGATTGGCTCAGTCAGTGACATTGGTATCAGGTTCCTATTCACTATGTTACTATGCTGAACCCCAAACCCTGGAAAATACCGTCTCTAACATCATCTCCTCATACCATCTCCTCCTACCAGTTATGCCCTGCACAACCAGGGATTTTCTCCTTTAGAACTGGATTTGGATTCAAAAAGGTGAACTCTCTTCATGACAAGCCTCTGCACATTGGCTTTAATCATACATTCTGGGTAGAAATAATTTAGTATACAATGAGCATCACTGTCTGTTCATGGGGCTCAAATATTTTTAAAAATAGAGGCAATGTTGAGCACCCTCTCATCATTTCAATAATTAAGAACTCTAAGATTCATCCTACTTTTTTCATTGGTAGGAGGTAGAACATTGGAGAAAATTCTAAAGCCCAGCATAAGTAAAGGAAAGACTTATGGCTTAGTGTAGGTAAGCCTAAGTAATTTGTATTATCCCACAAAGATAGCTTTAGTTTTAAACAAGAAAAGCATCTCTTTCCTTGAAAACCCAAAAACATGTTTTAGATTAGGAAAAACAGACCCTTGATATTCTTTTATCCAGGCCGTGAAAGAAAATAAATAGTCAGTGTTCCTTAGGGCAACAATGTTGTTCTAAGGCTGGGAGTCAACTATATACCCAGACAGTTAACAGTTCCTTGGGGGAGAGAGTCAACATTAGCAATCTGTGATAACGGCATTTGTGCAAGCTAATATGGACAGGTGGTATGTGAAGTACTAACTGATGTGTTTCACATCCTGGCCTGCTCAAACTTCATTTCAGAGAACTTGTTCACTTGTACCATTTTTCCTTCCTCTCTCCAAAACTAAACAAATGCCCTCTGAGTTAGAAAAGGGGAGGAAAAGGGTAATTGGAACAGAAGCAGAAGAATTAGACCCTGGTGGGATATATGAGATGGGGCAGAAGGCAAGACAACAGATTCCCAGATAGGTTTACTGATCCAAGGGCTAAAGAGAGACTTTTAATCAAAACCAGGAAAGTGAGCATCCTGTCCCCTTTCTCTCAATACCTTTCAAGGCAAAACACAGAATGTTGATAAGACAGGTCTAAGAGACGGTCTAAGACCACTCGTGTGTGTGCATGTATTCGTGTCTTCATGGGGAATAGGGAGGAACATCTTCAAAGGATGAGGAAGGGCCAGACAATCCAAAGCCCTTAGAATGAGGAAGATACAGGATTATATGGTGCTATGGTTTGGCTGTGTCTTCTTGAATTATAATCCAGTAATCCCCATGTGTTGTAATAGGGAGCTGGTGGGAGGTAATTGAATCATGGGGCATTTTCCCCCATGCTGTCCTCATGATAGCGAGTGAGTTCTCATGATACCTGATGGTATTATACGCATCTGGCATTTCTTCTGCTGGCACTCATTCTCTCTCTTGCTGCCTTGTGAACAGGTGCCTACTGCCATGATTATAAGGTTCCTGAGGCCTCCCCAGCCATGCAGAACTGTGAGTCAATTAAACCTCTTTTCTTTATAAATTACCCAGTTTCGGGTATTTCCATATAGCAATGTGAGAACAGATTAATACTTGTGGCTTACTGACCAGGATAATGACACCTCACCATACTCTAGCTGGGAGAGATGCCCATGACCATGGACCATAAGCTTCCCCTGGTGCCAGAATCCAAACTGGGACCTCAAAAACTTCGGCATACTCTGGAGGCCTTAAAGAGGTCGAAGGAATCATGAACTAATTCATTTTTAACCTGAAAGTCATGGCATTTTCTCAGAAATTACCAAGATTATGTTTTCTGCCATTTGGTGAAAATGGGGCTCGCAAAAACAGTGAGTAATAGAAATTGTTACATTCTCTTTTTGCACACCTAGCTTGATACTTGCTACCTTCGTCACTCATTTGAGATGTAGTCTTAGATTTTTCTTGGGAATCTGCAAGGTGCTCTGAAAATGGACTGAAGAGAGGCATAAAACATCACTAGAAGCTCTGGTCAAGTTTTTGTTTTCACTACAATCATTTTTTTTTTTTTTTTTGGTACAGCTATCATGAAGAGAAGGCCCACTTTGAAAAGCAGATGGCAGAAGTTTTGAACACAAGAAAGGAGTTCCCTGGGCAGATGGAGCAGACAAGGCATGAAAAAGTGAAGGTCTCAACAGAGACACAGAGGCAGAACAGAATATGTAAGAACAAGGGTTTGAGAAGAGAGAGACATCAACAAAATCCTGGCTCCAGAGAGTCAGTAGCTGGGGATCTGGTAGAGAGCCCCCTCTCTGGGATGAGTCCCTCCTCCACAAAATGTCTGTCCAGCCGTGCTCCTCAGTTGGACAGCACTGTGAAGGTTCACATGAGCATTTCATAAAGCCTGTGGGGCTCCCTCAAAGCACTCTTCCCTATCCATCTGGCAAATATTACTGTCAAATGCATCAGAAACCTATCATATAACACTTCCAGTTTTTTCATCATAAGCCCTTCCAAAAGGCCCACTGCTATTGTTAATGACTCAAGATTCTGACATCTTCTTCATGGGACAAACTCCAGCTCTCTTTTTTCTTCTTATTTACCTTACTTAGTACATTTCAATATATTTTCATGCAATTATTAGAACCTGTGCCTTCTACTTTTCCTTTGAAATGCTCTTGGCTCTTGCAACTACAGCTGCGTAACTTCATAGTAGATGAAATCATCACAATCTAGAAAATCATTTTTCTGTCTTTTGGACAAGATTTCAGAATCATCTCCTGACTATGCAGCAGGCTTGCCTGCAGAGAAGTGTGATTCTCAAGGATACATTTGTTCTGTTATAACTTTTTGTATGATACTTGAGCTGAGTTCATAGTTCCTCTAAAGAAAGATGTCCATCATGGTAGAGCACCGAATCAGTAAACTTTAAAGCTAGGAAAGACCCTTAAAGGCCATTTATTAGAGCTTCAGAAGCAGAAACATAGGCTCAGAGAGATGAAGGCCTTTCGAAAGGCCACTCCTCCAGTGAGGTACTGAATGAGGTTTAGAAGCTTGGTGGCCTAGAACACTGTTTAGTCTTCTTTATGCCACACTATTTTTAATCTTCTTGCTTCACTAGTGTGGAAGTCATTTGTGATGTTCCCCAATACAGGAATACCTCGTGTTATTGCTCTTCATTTTACTGTGCTTCACAGATACTGCATTTTTAGCAAACTGAAGATTTGCAGCAATCCTGCATCAAGTCTATCATCACCATTTTTCCAACAGCATGTGCTCTCTTGTGTTCGCATCAGCATTTTTAGCAATAAATTATTTTAATTAAGTTATGCACCTTGTTTTTTTAGACATAATGCCATTACACACTTAGTAGACCACAATATAGTATAAACGTGTAAGTTTTCTAGGCACTGAGAAACCAAGAAATTTATGTGACTTGCCTCACTGTGATATTTTCTTTATTTTGGTGGTCAGACTCCAAACATGCAATCTCTCCGACATATGCCTATATTTCTTTGGGGAGATAAAGGAAGAAGTTGGGCATGCTTGTTTTGGCTAATGAAATGTGAGCCGAAGCAAAGTGTTTCACTTCCACTTTAAGAACGGGTAGGTGATTCTCCAAGTTCCTTTTCTGCTACCATGACAACAGGCAACATACTAGATAATAGAAGTTTCCGCCAGCTGAGGACTACTAGGAGACTGAGGACAATGTGCAGGAGAGCCCCAGCTGACTCATAAAGGACATGCAGCATGAGTGAAAAATAAACCTTCATGGTTGTAAGCCACTGAGACTTGGGTGTTGTTTGTTGCTGCACCATCATCTAGCCTGTCCCCACCAGGTGAGCCTGAGGCACACCTCCATTCCCACAGCACACCTCTGTACATGAAGACTTCAGAGGGCATACAATGCAGAAGGTCAGAATTCTGCTCCATAAAACATTCTAAATTCCATAGATCACCAGCATTCTTTCTTCCTCTTGGCTTATATTAGGGATAGGGGTGTGGTTTATTACAAAGAATGAGTATTTTGATAGCTTCTCATTCTTTGAGCTGTTCTGTAGGTAAGTTCCTGGTGGAAATATTCTCTATTCTTAGGGTTAAAAACAGAATGAATTAGATAATTTTAATAAGCTCAGTGCATTATGACCTCAAATGCATCATCCTGTGCTTACACACATACATGTGCAAAGATCTTTGGTTTCCTTGGAGGCTTTCTATCTAGATAAGTCTCAGCGCTTCACAAGTTTCCTAACTTTATAAGCACCAACATTATGGCAAATTGATGCTTCAAAAACATCACATCATCAGGTATTTCATATGAATAGTTACAAAATTAATGGAAGCTCCTCACAGAGTAGTAAGTGAGCCTCTGTGACCTTGGGTAGGTCACTTAGCATCTCTGGGCCTCAGTTTCTCATCTATAAATGAGGATAGTAGTAGTGCCTGGCTCCCAGGGTTCATGTGAGAATGAAGTTGGGTCATGCACATCATGTCTGGTTCATAATAAGTACATAATGTTAACTATATCTGAGCCATAGAGTACATAGACATCCAAAAAGTACACTTGATTCAGACTTTTTGCTTTCCAAAAAGGGTGAATTCAGAAAGCATTTGGTTCACCAAGTACTGACTTTCTGGAAAAGATGTAAAACCACAGTCCTGCCACGTAGAGGTTTTAACACACTTTTGAAAACACAAACAGATGGGTAGGCAAGTAGGTATTGCTAACAGTTCAGGAAAATTTTCCAAACCTCTTGCTGAGGGCATAGATCCAGCTGGGAAAATCTTTAAAGGGCAGGCTCGTTTATACTTTTTCCATCTTAAATATTTGGACTTTTTCAGGTTTATAACAAAGCTTGGAAAATACTAAAGGTTAAAAGAGAATTGAGAGCTGCCAAGGAAATGAAAGATGAGGTAAGGCTCCTAACTCCTCTACGTACATGGAGTTGAATCTTCATTACAAGCGACGTTTTTTCATGTTTTATGATTCAAAATTCCAGTAATAAGCATCACAAAATATCATGGACAGAAGTGGGCAGCAGAACATAGTGTTTAGGAGCCCAGACTCAAGCTGGGTGAGTCTGGGTTCATATCTACCAGCAGTATGATTATACTGAGTTTGTTGCCTACTCTAAGTTTCCTTTGCCTTATCTAGAAAATATGAATTATGAGCACCTATTCCAAAGACTTGGCAGGAGGATTAGCAAAGATAGTGCATATAGAAAGCACTTAATCAATATTAACTATTGTTGCTAACATTCTCTCTTTATCTGGAATGATATGAAAATGGAGTGTCTGATTAGTTTAATATTTTGGTCAAACTGTGTTTATGGGGCCAGGTGTGATGACTCACACCTGTAATCCTAGCACTTTGGGAGGCCAAGGCAGGAGGATCGCTTGAGCCCAAGAGTTTGAGACCAGCCTGGATGACTTGGTAAGACCCCTGTCTGTATAAAAAATAATTTTTTTTAATAGCCAGGTGTGGTGGGATGCTCTTTTGGTCCCAGCCACTCAGAAGGCTGAGGTAAGTGAATCACTTGAGCCTGGGAGGTTGAAGCCACAGTGAGACATGATCACACCAGTGCATTCCAGCCTGGGTGACAAAGACCCTGTCTCAGAAACAACAACAAACTATGTTTGTGTATGCCCTACCTTGTTCCAGAAAGGATTTAAGGTGGCTGTTTTGATGAGTAAAGGATTGTCCCACATACAATGTGCTTTTTAACAGACCTCCTACCAAGAGGTGAGCAGATTCTGAAACAGGCAGTCCACTCCTTGCCTGCTGCATTACTGGAGCCATACAGAACTTGCTACCAGTTCTGTGGGGAACAAGGATCTGGTATGGATTTTCAAGAAGGCTGTTTCTTCATTTAAGTTATATCTTTGCAGCATCTTCAATGTGCCAGGCATTCATTGTTATAGGAGCTGGGAATAAACAAAATAACAAAAATCTCTACTCTCATGGAGCTTACCTTCTTAGTAGAATAATTTCTCAAATGATATGATAGTGAAAAGTCTATGAACCTGCCCAAGTGCCAACAGATCAGCCCACATTCCTTAGCTGGCTGATCTCCACCATATGTCATATGTGTCCTAGACTATATACTTATAGGGTGTGCCAAGTTTTAAAGAATCTAGAATACCATAAAATATAGTCAGTCTTCAGCATATGAACATAAATGGTTCTAAATTTTTGTTCACAGGCAAAACCTTGTATAAATATCCATTAATTCACATCATAAGTAATGCAAAAACTATAATATTTCTATAAATGAAAAAGTAAACTTGGGAATCAAGTTAGTAATATCAATAATAGTGTTTAAAATTACTGTAGATAACTGTAAACTTTATTATGACACAAGTGAAATGTAAAAAGTCCTGAATCAATGTTAGTTTTTAAGGCTTCATGTTTCTTAAGGCATAACACTCACTACAAATTCAATCATTCTGATATTATTGGTGGTTAAAAGTGGTTTCCCATTGATGATTGAAGACTTGTCCTCATCCTCAGACAAATTAGATAATATTCCAAAGATGATGACCTTTATGGTGTTATTGGTTGACTCCAAAATTACTCTGGAAATTGCCACCCAAGTTTTCTTGAAATGCCAAATCCCTGGGAATGCTGCCATTTTGAATCTTTGCAATGTTCTTGTGCTCTGAAAGTGCTACTGAATCATGAGCTTCAATTTAACATCAGCTTCCCCCAAGAAGAAGCTTGAAACTGTCAGTACTTGGAAACCTAGAGAAAAATTTCTTCTCCTATTTTCAAATACATGTTTGAGATACCATGCTTTCTGACAATAGATCCATTTAATCAATACAGAAAATTTGCTTCAGTAAATAACCTATTTTCCAATAGTTATAAGGAATATGGTAACAACTACAGTATCAGCACTAGTCATTTTGCCTGTGGGTTGATAGCTGCTGCTGATGTCATATGTTTCAAAGCACAGTGACCAGGTTCCATTCTTATAGAAGACAAACCAAGTATGTAAATTCATGACTTAGGTAAATGAAAACTCACCTAGCAGCAGAGACTTGTGATTTCAGCCATTGTTAATGACTTCAGATCCAAGACAGGATCAGATGGTGCCTGAGGGTCAACATTATGTTCTCAGTTCATCTCATGTCCTAGTAATGGTTACAGAGCTGTGATTGATGAAATGTCAGATTAAATCTTTTCCTATTGTATGTTGATACTCAAAAGGCATCTGCCTGGAATTTAGCCTTCATAAAGTAGATACGATTATAAATAGTTTACAGTTAATATCTGTGCAAGATACTAGCAAGAAATTAGGTTCACTGAGACCTTGGAAACACTGGCTTTTCTGGGGTTCTGAGTTGAGCACAGCTTTTTCTAATAACTTTCTACAATTAAAAATAGAACATGGTTCTGGAAATCACCTGATCACTCTCCCAGAATATTTACCCCTGTTCTGATGCATCACAACCTCTTTATAATTTGGTCTTTAGGAGAGAATGACTTAAGTTTTGTTTTCAAAAGTAAATTTCACTTGACGTACATCAAAACATATTTGTTATTCAGCTGGTTTAAGGAATGTTCAAAGAAAGACGATTTATTCCAAACCTCTTGTTTCATGAATGAAGACATTTTCTGAGAGACTCTGAGCCAACGCTAAATATACAAATTAGATTAGATCATCTACATTAAGGATTCAATTCTGAAGTTCTGGTGGTGCAAAAAAATTGGACCATCAGGCCTCTTCTACTCAGAGGACATCCAAAACTGGGGAGAAGAAAGGATATTTTTATTGGCCTGAGAGAGAGCACTTAACTTTTAATTTAGAAAGACTCAAGTGTGTATCATTGGTATTTTGTTAGTGAGCCCTCAGTGTGCTAGTCTCCATGGGGAACAATCTGGTGTCAGGGTCCCTGCCTTGAAACACATATATTCAGCACCAAGGCAAGAGTATAGAGCATTTGGTTCTCCTGTGGAGCAGGCATCTTGTTGTCACCTAACCTGCTCATAGATGCCACAGAAAGACAGTCCTGTGGCCAGAGTGGAGAGGCTCCTTAGGGTCCCCTTTCCCAGAGAGGCTCCATACCCTATTCCCAGTGTGGTAACCGCAAGAAAGGGATCCAAAGCACCAGAATCAAACTACTGCTCTTTATCGAGTTAAGGATTTTGTTTCCAAGTTAGAAAACAGTGTCTGTACACCATTTTTTAAAGCCACTCTACACGTATTCTCTTAAGAGAGTCCCCGGTAATTGTCTTAATGGTAATTATATGCTTGGGGCAGTTGACATCCACTGTTATTTTTCTGGAAGTAAGAAACGAAGGATGGGAGCAAGAGAGGAGGAGGGAGAGTTTTGAGATAATGAAATCCTTTTAATGACAGAGCCATGCCGTTAACCTAATTAAACTGTATAGTAGTTAAAAAAAAAAAAAAAAAAATCCCGGTACTAAATGGAAATGAAGAAATAAATCAGCAGAGACAGCAGCACTTCTGGGAAACCTTCTGAATTCCGAATACTCTGACATTGCAGTGTCCAGTTCTCACCGTTGTCCTCTGTACCCCCTCGGCCTTGTGCAGGAGCTTTTTAAACTGACCTGTCCAGTAAGGCTTGATTTACAATATCCATATCCGGTCTCCAGTTCCTCTGGGAATGTGTGTTATGCAGCTCATATATTTCAAAAGACAGACCAGTCAGTCAGATATGATGGCAGAGCACTAGCTACAGGGTCAGGAAGAACGTGCTCTCCTGGCCTTATTGCTGACTAGATGTGAGACTTTGGACACTGTGGCTTAGATTCCTTCACTATTTCCATGTACCTATCCCCTACCTACTGTACACTTTTGTAGCTGTAATTCTCTTAGAAGAATTGCCTTGAGACTACTGAAGTCACTTTGCCTACAGGGGCAGAGAGTTGGAAGTTCTTAGGAGTTTATAACCCATGGGGCAGCCATTGGCCATTGACCGATGCCAATTTTGACAGCCCAGCTTTCATTGGCACCATTCAGGACAGACTCTTAAGGTGTAACTCATATTCCAGAGTTTCCTGTATGATCAGGCTAAAATTACTGCCCACGGGACTCTCTGAAAATGTACCTGTACTTGGTTTTTTCCCCTTCCGTGTCCGGCTTCCCCCTCTTCCATGCTGGTTTCTCTTGGGAGTGTTTCTTTAATAGATGACACTTAAGAACCTTCTGAGTAATCTAACCTAAGAGATAGGTACTGTATTAGTCCATGTTCACACTGCTATAAAGAACTACCGGAGACTGGGTAATTTATCAGGAAAAGAGGTTTAATTGACTCACAGTTTCAAATACGTGGTGAGACCTCAGGAAATTTACAATCATGGCAGAAGGCAAAGGGGAAGCAAGGCACATCTTACATGGCAGCAGGAGAGAGAGAGAGCAAGGGGAAGTGCCACACTTTTAAACTATCGGATCTCGTGAGAACTCACTATTACAAGAACAGCATGGGGGAAACCACCCCCCATGACTCAATCACCTTCCACCAGGTTCCTCCCTAAACACATAGGGATTACAATTTCAGATGAGATTTGGGTGGGAACACAGAGCCAAACTATGTACTTACCATAAAGGAACCAGCCGCAGTTCCTAGATTTAAAACTCAGCAGTGATGCTCATGAGTGTTGTAGAAAGCCAGCTTAGTGAAAGAAATTAAGGACTACACAGCTTCACATGGGACTTCTTCCTCATTCCTTTGACACCATTGCCAACCACAACACTGGGAGCAGAGGTGGCATCATGGTGTGATGAAGCCCTGCCCTCCTACAACAGCTCTGCACCCACATCCCCACTCAAGTTACTCTGCCCCATACACTATTTATATGTCAATCACTACTTTGTATCCCCATCTAGCGACAGTTAGCTAATTCTTTTCCCTCATAATCAAAGACAGAGATCTTACGCCACCAGCCCAGGGATTTCACTTTTGTTTCCCTTGTGAATGCCTCTAAAGAAAAGCACTGAGTTTATAGGTGAGGGAGATCCCTTGGTCTAGTGGGTGGAAGAGAAAGGTAAGAGACTTCAGAATCCCACATCAAGCCCATCATGGATTCACTATACTTGTCTTGACAAGTTCATTTGACATCTCAATATGTTCATCAGTGGCAGAGCCATTAATATTTATAGGCAGTCCACTAGGTGCCTGGAATTATTCTAGGAACTGACTTCCTCTTGAAAAACAGGGGAATTGTCTGTGGTGCACCTGCACAGTGTGGTGAAGATTAATTAATATAAATCAGTAATTGTCTGAATAATGCAGAGCGCTCAGACACCAGGCAATTGGAAACTGTGTAAATGTTACACAGGATGAGTAATAACAGCTAACGGTTGATGGACAAATTTCCAGCAAATTTAAAGTCTCTGTCAACCTGTTAAGTGAACGAAAGCAAGCACTTTCTTGATAGCTTATAATTGATGCTTTTGTTTTTCTGGCTGCCTAGGCAGGAGAGAGAGACAGAGAAGTGAGCAGCCTGAACAGCAAGCTGTTAAGCCTGCAACTTAACATCAAGAAGCTGCATGATGTCTGCAAGAGACAAAGGAAGACCTTGCAAGACAATCAGCTCTGCATGGAGGAGGCAATGAACAGCAGCCACGTAAGGGACTTGGCAGCGGCCGGCCACCCCTGCTCCCTTGACTTCTGCCCCTGCTTCCTTGGGGGGAAACAATAGAAAGTTGTTTCACTGTTCATTCAAGAGCACTTACTGAACAAGCAATGAGAGAGAATTAAGAGAATTAAACACAAACACCCTACACACATACATACAGAAAATGTCATTCCTACCTTCAGGATTTTTCCATCTATCTCCAAGGTCATGTACATGCTAGGCAAAATATTTTCCTTATCTGGCCTTTCCCACCTATATTTACAGCCCATTGCCCTGAAAATATCAGATCACAGTGATACAAGGAGAACAACATCTGCTATGGATCTCAGATAAACTTCTAAGTCAACCATGAAAATAAAAACCATCACACCTGCTCCAAGGTATCAGTGTTCATCAGGGTAGCAGGGGGTCTTCATTGCCGCACCTGTGTCTCACTGTTTGTGAGCTTTTCTTCTGGACACAGGAACCTGATCACAGGACAAGCTCAGATTCTCAAGAGTTAATGCCCCTAGAAGCAACCCTCAAGCAATATCAGATGGGGGATGGTAGATTAAATCTCCCACCTTCCTTTCTCCCTAGTCAGAGGTAACTCGAGGCATGCTGTCTCACAACCTTCCTCAATAGAGCTGAGCCCAGTTGCTCATATCGGTAACTAGCTTGATGACACACCTTTTTTTCTACCAAATTCTTTTGTTGTTGTTGTTGTTACATGAGTAAGTTCTTTATCCGAGATTTGTGAGATTTTGATGCACCCATCACCCGAGCAGTACACATTCAACCCTCCTTCACCCCCTTCCATCCTTTCCCCCAGAGTTCCCAAAGTTCATTGTATCATTCTTATGCCTTTGCATCCTCATAGCTTAGCTCCCACTTATGAATAAGAACACACAATGTTTGGTTTCCCATTCCTGAGTTATTTTACTTAGAATGATAGTCTCCAATTCCGCCGAGGTTGCTGCAAATGCCATTCATTCATTTCTTTTTATGGCTGAATAGCATTCCATTGTATCTATATACCACATGCCAAAATAAGGAATCAGCCAAATGCCCATCAATCAACAAGTGGACACACCTTTTATCAGCTTCCTTCCTTTCCTTGTTTCAGTCTCCCACTGCACAACCAGAGTCCTAAGACCACATCCCACATCAACTACTATTTGCTCAGTTCCTTGTCACAGAGCCTGCTTTAAAGGGTGCCCAAGCCAAGACACTCAGTAACACTGATCCTACATATGTGTGAACACGCAGACCTCCTGGCAAGAGCATCTTTCTGGAGACTGTGATTTTGGACCAATGCTTATCTAGAGTCTAGGCTGTTCATCAGCTGAGGCAATTTCATTTCAGTCTGAGGAAGACAATTTCGTTTCAGTCTGAGGTTTTCGTTCTTTGGAAGCTCTAAACCTGAGGTCTTTAAGTCAGTCTCTAAATTTATCCACACAAGCTGGAGAGCCAGCTGGGAGACATTTTCCCACAGCTCTCTAAACACTTCATGTTTCCAAGAATTCTTTACTTGTGATCTTCATTTCCATTTAGTGACTTGAATTCTCAGTAAACATAAAGCAAGTCCTAGCTGCACAGACCTGTTGCTGGACACCCAAAGTTAGCCTCTGGGAGGCTGTGAAGCCACCACTGTGTTCTTCACTGTTTGTGATCAAGGATCTGGCCTCTTTTCATTGAGTCTGTTAGAGTTCTCCCAGGACTTACCGCTTCACTATTGAAACCACAAACTGTTCCTCTGCAATGCCCTAGAAATACTACCAACAAAGCATTTCTACTTCATGTCATAAGCATTGCTTTCCTCAGGAAGTCACAAATAGAGAAAAAATCCACTGGTTTCCTAAATGGATCTCAGGAAGAAGATTATCATAATTTACTTCTTTCTAAATATTAACATTTTAGGATATTTCACCATTGCTGTCATGAGTTTTCTTATTTCCCCTGTCAGGAAAAGCCATGTGGCTTATAAATGTACCTGGCAACTTGGAAGGAGAAAGGTATTAAATTGCATTTTATTATTCTAATTGCACAGAAGAGGGTCTAACAGCTTGAAACAAGCTTTAAAGCAGGCTCTTTTTTCCCTTAGCACTTAGTGCAGAATTTAAATAGCAGACTACGCATACAAATACACAATTAGATGTAGACTTATACTCATCCGCTTGGAAAATCCCTTTAAGATCTGCCTTCCACATGGAAATGTAATATGGGAACAAAAGGGAAACCAAGACTTTCTGAAATTCTGACTACTGTCTAACGAGGAGCTGGGGAAACAAGCAGGAGTTAGGCCCACTATTATGTAAGAAGATTAAAATATTACATTAGATGTTATGTATAACAAAAGGAGTGGCAGGGAAGGGCTGAGTGATAGAAAAGAAAGCGACATGACCTTGCAAATCAAGAATAGGTGATGCTCCCAATCTCAGGAACAGAGCAGGAAACAGGGTGAAGAGTGCTTTCTTAAAATTTGCACCTCACTTGCCTCACTGTAGAACTCACCCTGCCCAGGAATCAGAAGAGCATCTCAATTAAAGTGAAAGGAGAAAAGAACAACAGAGATATCATAATAAAATAATCAAACCAGAAAAGAAAGGGCCTTTTGAGCCATTTTCCCAGGCTGCCTTCCCTGATGGGAGCATAGGGTGCATGCCCTGATATTCAGTAGAGCTCAGATTGCCAAACTCATCTTTGAAGTGTACAGAGGACACTATTTTTAGCATTAATCAATATAAGGCAAGCTTGATTCCTGCAGATAAAAGTAATTCGTTGAATATTTGAAGATTAGTAGAATCTTGATGGGCATTATTACACAGTATCATTTTTAGTCATTGGGAATGAAATATATATATATTTAATTGAATCTCCTGAATGCAGTCTGAAATCCTGGATTGGATATTGGAACAGAAAAAAACACATTAGTGAAAAAACTGATGAAATCCAATAAAGTATAGTTCATAGTAATCTTCCAACATTAATTTCTTAGTATAGACAAATGTACCCAGTTATTTAAGAAGTTAACCTTAGGGAAAGCTGTGTGAAGAACATATGGGAACTCTCTGTGCTACTTTTACAATTTTCCTGTAAATCAAAAATTATTCACTGGGCACAGTGGCTCACACTTGTAATCCCAGCACTTTGGGAGGACGAGGCGGGTGGATCATGAGGTCAGGAGTTCGAGACTAGCCTGGCCAACAGGCTAGTCTCTACTAAAATACAAAAATCCACTGGCCATGGTGGTGGGTGCCTGCAATCCCAGCTACTCAGGAGGCTGAGGAAAGAGAATCACTTGAACCCGGGAGGCAGAGGTTGCAGTGAGCCGAGATCGGGCCATTGCCCTCCAGCCTGGGCAACAAGAGTGAAACTCCGTCTCAAAAAAAAAAAAAAAAAATTAAAAATACGTTTATTTTTAAAGTGAATTTCAGGCAAACAGAAGTCACTAATGAGAATAATGTCTAAATCAGAAAGATGCATCTAAAATTAATTGATGTCACTTAAACACACAGTTCTATGCTCTACTGGTACAAGAAAGTACAAGAAATGCAATTTGTAGAAGACATAAAAAGTAACAGATAAGGTTGGGTGTGGTGGCTCACGCCTGTAATCCCAGCACTTTGGGAGGGCGAGGCAGATGGATCACCTGAGTTCGAGACCAGCCTGGCCAACATGACGAAACCCTGTCTCTACTAAAAATACAAAAATTAGCCAGGTGTGTTGGCAGGTGCCTATAATCCCCGCTACTCAGGAAACTGAGACAGAAGAATCACTTGAACCCTGCAGGCAGAGGTTGTAATGAGCCAAGATCGTGCCACTTCACTCCAGTCTGGGTGACAGAGCAAGACTCCATCTCAAAAAAAAATAACAGATAAACCTATCCAGTGATACAAGGCTAAACTAGAGTTCCAAGGGAATATCTCATTTACCTCAAAGTTAGGAAAAGAAGTTCATGAAAATGACTGAAAAAGTGATTTTGTCCTCATCTGTGCTAATGGTTGCTGCTGCTACCTCTTGAACAAGGAGAAACTGATTCAAAAGCCAATAACGCCTCGTGTAATTCAGCTCAAGTTTGAAGATTTTCTAGATTGTCCCATAGACCTCAATACCAAGAAATGAAAATCACAAATGTAATAAATAATTTTGTATGAAAAGGTCAATTATAAAGCATTTAGATTTTTTTCAACTATACAAATATATTCTCTGGGTTCTGCTATAGCCCAGACAGTGTTAACTTTTTTTTCCTTTTGTGGGTTTTGGTCCCCTCCCTAGGAAATTATTTCAATTTGATGTGTCCAACTCTTAAGTTTCTTAGTTAAAAAAAAAAAAAAAATCTCCATTAAAAAACAAGATAGTGAGACTTTTTGGTTCTTAAATAAAAAAAAAAAATCACTGGGGATTTAGTTATCAGAACAATGCCAACCTAGTCAGTGCAAACTAGAGCAGGGAATAAAATGGTTAAAAAGTATTTTGAAAATCCAGCTTTAGGCAAATCAGCAGGGCCTGATGACATACTTCGAAGAGTACTTAAGGAATTGGCAGGTGTTATTACATCGCTGCTAGTGATTATTTTTGAGAACTCAAAAGGATAAAGAAAGTCCCTGTAGACTGAAAAAGGGTAAATGAAGTGCTCATCTTTTTAAAAAGGGAAAAAGGACAATCCTGGTAATTATAGACCTGTCAGCTTAACTTCAATACAAGGAAAATACAGAACTTAACATCAATCAATTAGCATCAACTTGAAAAGCACAAAGTATTGGGTGGAAACCAACGTGACTTTTCAAAAGGCAAATCATGCCAGGCCAATTAATTTCCTTCTGTGATCAAGTGGTCACATAGGCAAGGAAGGAGCAATAGCTATAATCTCTTTGACCACAAGTAGGGCTGAAAGGTTGACTAAATATGGGAACAGGTTCCTATGGACAACCAGCAATCCCCATCTTTTCAAGCAGCTGAGACCTGGATAGAAATCCAGCTGAGAAACCTGGTAGACCAGATGGCCT